AGGGCCTCTGCTAAGTTCAGCAACCGACACTGTGTACACTTAGATTAGCAGCTCTAAAGATGACTTGGTTTCTTGTCTGTACTTCTTTCTCTAGACTGGCTGCTCCTCACTTTGAGCATATTTTTTTAGTATTAACACCTTTTCCTGTGCCAAGATCTTTAATGAAAATACTAAACAGTTGACAAAGAGTCTTAGAAACAAACCCTTTTAGAAACCCATCACAAGCCTCACTTCTCATTTCAACACAATCCACTGTCATCTGTTGTTTTTCCAGATTATCTGTTAAGAGGTAAGCTATCAGATACCTGAACATGAGAACAGCTAGGACCTCTCATGCTCCTATGAAACAGAAAAATGATCAAATATTAGTTACCTAGCACAATCTGCTCTTGGTGAGCTATTCAACTCCATGGTACTAACGATACCATTCTGCAGAGCCCCTTCTGAGTCTGCCATTCTTATGCCCGAATGACATCAGATGAATGACAATAGTTCAGATGGTTTCCTTTGTTTTTTGTTGGTTTTTTTTTTAATAGAAGTGCGACATTTGCTGCCTTTCATGTAATGGTTACTCACAGGTTTTTCTCAGAATAGCTATAATTAAAACAGTGCAGATGGATGGCAAATACAGGTCTTACAGAGCCCATGTTTGCAACCTCATCTCTTGAGCTCGTGACACTCTGACTTTTACTGCCACTTTGGATGGAAATGCTTTCACTTCAGATTTTCAGATTATTGTCTCTATTTCTATCTCACCATTTTTACTGTCCAAGCCATTATGCTGCAAAAGGACAGTGGCCAGGAAAAGCCACTTATATTTTAATTTATCTATGCATAATATCAGCAGCATATGCAAGGCTCCTTCTGCTAGTCTCTCCTTGTGTGTGTGTCATGGAGCAATTGCAAGGCAAACAAACTCATTGTAACATGTCTGTGTACGCCAGTCAAGCCATAGCCTTACTTGGTTTCTGATATGTCCACTGTGACTGTCCACTAATTTTAACTGTCAGACAGCAGTGAGTAAAACAAATGCAGGTGTTCCTTCATAGGAAGTTGCTACTCATTTATGGTGCTTATGTAAAATAATGATAGAAAATAGCCCAGTAAGTGTAACATGGGCTTTCTGGTGCTGATATGCTCACATTCAAAGAAGGACTTGCAGAAAAACAAATGGAACAAGTTCTTTCAGTATTAAAAAAAAAAATCCCCTTAATTTCTGAATAATTTAGCCAGAATGAGTTAAATTGTTAGATGCTCTTTGACTGCAGAGAAATGATAGCTCTCACAGCTGGTTATTCAGACTAACCTGACCAGAAGTGAATAGGGACCTGCACAACCTGTAACGTACTTTGCACCCCCTACTATGCCCTTAGGCACATAGCGAGTCAAAGACCTCACTAGAAACTCTGAAGTAACCTAGCATTTTTAATCATACAATCAGCTTCAGGAAGAGGGCTGCCTGCTATAAATTTTTCCTCAACCATATGGCCCTTTAAAAATGAATGCTATCCATTTCCCTAATCATTATGCTTGTGGATGACCACTTTGTCTCTTTTTAATGCAATAATATTGCCAAACCTTTTCATCATGGCTGAGGTCTCTTGGGATAATCTCCTCCAGCCAATGATCCTTTTCAAGCTGCCTACTCCTTCTATCAATGATAAGATCAAAGCTATCCACTTGAAAGAAAATCTTTAGGATTTAATTGGTGTTTCCCTTTTCCTCAGTTGACGATGTTCTGGCAAAAGTTAAAACTAAACCCCACGTGTGCTCACCCACATCGGCATTCAGTGCTGGCCACACACAGGTCATTGGCTCCATCACAATGTCTCAAATGGTTCATCAGAAAAAAATCTCATTACAGATGAGCTGTCACTCACAAACACCAAGTAAACAACTTGGTTATACCCATTTGTAAGATACAGTGATGGGAGTATGCTGATTCTGTAGCTATTAACAGACTCCCACTCATCGTAGCCAAGCTTCAGTCATTCAGGTCTTGGCACTCCAGCGGTATGTCTACACTGGTGTAAATCAACAGTGTGAAAACCACTGCACTTGTGTGAAAGACACTTTCAGAAGTGATCATATGCCCTAAATCTTCTGGACGCTCTTGGCCACTTTGCATGTTCCAGTTTTTGTGGAGGAATGCAGCTCTCCTCCTCTAGGAAAGTGTTAAATGTCAGGGGATCAGGCTATATGCTCCTCTTCCATGCATGAGGGAAAAGGTTCTTCAGTCTACAAAATGATGGCAGTTCTGAATTACTGTAGGAGGAGGAAGCTAGAAAGACAGCAATCCAAAATGCTGTTTCGCTTCCTGAAAAGTTCTGCCTAAGAGTTAAACATATGGGACATGGTGCAGGTCATTCTTGTCTGGCAAAACCAGCAGAGTTCAGAAGCTCCAACTGAAGGTGATTCTTAGAGAAAGTACACATTGTGAGAGCCTCCTTTTGTATGAAATATTTGAAAATAGCAACAGCTGTTCTTTATAGCTGTGTGTAAACCCATTTCCACAATATTTTACTACACTTTAAATAAATGGCAACTCATGTCTTGCTAGGAGAAAAAATTACATTATGTGATGAATACTGCTCTAAGAACAAACATTTTCAAAGCATTGACTCTGTTGAAACATTATGGTAAAGGCCCATCAATAAAATGGCATTACGCCATTAACCAGGGGAGTCGGAGATATTTGTTACCTTTAGCTGGGAAATGATTTGCAAGTAAAAAGCAAAAGTGCCTGTTTTCTGTTCCATCATGATGGTGCAGCTTGTGATAATTGTAATAATAGGACAAATTGTGCCATGCTTTCTCCTGAATATCCATAGTAAGTCATTCAGTTAGAAAATCTGGGAGGCACAATTTGGCTGCGTGTGGTAATAGCACACCATTAAAGAGATAACATTTCCTACCTTCAGCTTTTATTTTTTCTTAGCTATGTCTTCCCAGCAGGAGAAAATGAAGTAGTTAAGAAGAAAGCTAGATTACGGATAAGAATTTGTCAGCTATATACAGTGGTGAATATACTTAGTGAGACATGCATCTCCATTCATTGCAAGTAGTCTTATTTCTGTACAAACAGCTGCAAGACCAGGGTAAGGCTGGGCAACGGGGGCGCATTTTGTTCCTCATGAGGGCTGGCATTTTCAAGAATGTCTAATGATGAATATGACTCGTTTCAAAGAAGCTTGAGGGACTCTGGTATGAAGGAGAAACTGTGCTTCTGGCAAAAGATTAAACACTCTTACTTTCTATTGACTTGGGGAGCTGGGAAGTTTTGGCAAATGCTAGGATCAGGCCATTAAACGAATGGGTTTCACAGCACTTGCCAGTAATGGCTCTCTACTTGTATGAATGTGGGTGAGACGGTGCCATTTCATGAAACTTCTGTTCAAATACAATAATTTATAAGAACAAAGAACATCCTACAATGAAGTCAGTGAACAAAAGTGCATGATTTGCTTGCCCAACATGATTGGAAGAACAGTGCTGGGTTAAACCATTTGCAAGGCAGAGCATGCAAGATACTATTTGCTGTCATGAAGGGTTTGTGGGTCTGAGCTTTAGTTTGTGCATAGAATGCTATAGACTGAGACAATGAAAAAAGTCCCAATTTGTCAGCAGCATGGAAACCTGGGTAATGCTGCAAGTTAGATGAACCGTATGCTTTGAAATTAGTGTTCCAGGGAGCCCAGAAACACTTTCGCTATTTTGACTTCTACCTAATACGGTGAAAAAAATAACAGGGATGAATGTCAGGCATGGTTTGTATGACAAGATTTACAGGGCCTGCCTCATATTACTTTTGGAGAGGCAACAAATAGTCCTTGTTGATCTGCAGTTAATCTTACACGACTGGCTCAGAAACCTACCAGCACTAATAATAGACCGGCTGTGCTGCCGTCAGTAGGTTCATGCTGAAAGGCACTGAGAAGCAGAACACAATGTTAAAGAAAGCATAAAATAACTCTCGTGTTGGCATCTTTTGGTTCATTAATGGATGCCTACCAGCAGCTACCAAGGAGGTGGCAAAATAATAGCACTACAAGAAATTAGGCTCATGGTTACCTGATAGATTACGACCCGGAATTTGTTTTTCTTCAGCATTTCCACTTGTTTGGCTTCCACCTTCCGCACGCTGGCGCTCTGCCTCTCCACGCGTGCCCGTACCTCCTTTACGGTGGAGCTGACTTTGCGGGTTTTCTCCAGTAACTTGTTCACCGTGTAGCCTGTATTGCCATGAGACTGGGCAAGCTTTAAAATGTCAATCTGTATGGTCTTGATGGCGTTTTCCATCTCCCTGTGCCTCTCCTCTATCCTTTTCTGGCTCGCCTGCACGCTGTCCACAATGTTGGCCACTTTGTCCAGAACTGTCACAATTGTGTAAGCTGCATCTTGTTCTTCTTCCTCTTCGGTGACGCTGGAGAGGCGATTTTGGTGGGTTTTGTCAGCCTCTGAGGTGATTTCGCGGCGATCCATTTTGCCTGCCTTCGGCCGGGTCGGTGGGAGGCGAAGTTTCGGTGATCCTGCCAGAACGATTCTGGCACTGCTGCAGGGAGCCAGGGCGACAGCTGGCCCCGGCGATGCTCAAAGTAGGGCGTGAAACGCCGCTCCTGGAGCTTGGTCAAATAGTTCTGACTACAAAATATCCACACATGATTGTTCGGATACTTTCAGCAACATGAAACCCCCCTAAAATTAGGAAGCAACGTCTGGAAAGGAACATACGTTTAAAGGGTCACGCTTCTGTACTGATGAAGTTATTAGTGTTAATCCAGGAAAGTTAAGTAACTTACTAATTAAGCAGGAAAGCAAACTTGCATATTTTTAACGATCTACTTTTGTTTTCGTGTTGCTGGAGTGCTTTCCTCCAAGGGAATTCAAAGAGCGGTCAGGAAAATTAACACAGTTGTTTTTTCCAGCAAAACAACTTCAGGTCTTCAGCTTGCTGCAATTACCACATGGGGTAACAAATAAACACACTAAACCAGAGGCAATATAGTGAAAACGTTGTATTGTGACATGCTTTTCCAGTTCAAAATGTCGAAAGCATTTTTTTTAATTGAACAAAGTATTAAATCCTACATGCAAAATTCTGAAAGCCTAAACTACATGTTATAACAGCTGAACACATCCTATTCACACTTTATCTCGGGATCTTTCAAACGACAACTAACAGCCTATTAATATAACTATGACCAGCAGACTAATTTGGATGGACTTCTTTAGCTCTTGAAAATACTCTATACAAGAGCACTAGTAATTCATTCACTTTTATTTTTCTTTATTTTAATCACAAACACTATACAATCCGTATTGTAGGTGTCAAAACATGTATTTTCTTTAAAAAAGTTTAAGCAGTATTAAAACAGCTTTAACAGTGATAAAGTAGGCTTTATTCCAATTATTTGTGTTCAATTATTCAACACGAATTTTTACAATACCTAAATCTACTCAGACCTACTTATTTTGGACCTGTGCCATCTGCTCTACCAGGTAACTTCCCAAATTATTAAATTTATAATTTTCCTCTTTAAAAATAAATTGTTGGAATTATTTATGAAGATGGCAGTGCTTCGACCCAGCCCACACGTTTTATAAATATGTTACAACTACACACAGCACACAGCTTCACAGTTCATGCGATAGGCAGTGTCTAAAAAATCAGTTACTAACTTCCAAAAACATTTAAATATCTACGGTATTTAAACACAGTGTTTTCTAGATTCTCATAAGAAAAGTAAGCTGTAAACATTTTTACCTTTAGTTCATGCCTTGTTTGCTAGGTAATGTGGACTTTTTTGTTGGCTTGTTGTTTTTTGTTTTGTTTTTTTAATCTACAACCATTGGTGGAATAAATCTGTGTTCCCAAAAATATTACATTCCATGGATAAAGCACAAGTCTATTATATAACCATGTGATACAGATACAGAAAATGAACTACTGTATTCAAAAACATAAAAGTAAAGATACTAAAACAGTCCATAGCTGTTAGAGCTGATGCTTTCAGAATACAGACCAACATTGTTACACTAAAAATGTTCAAAAATAAGGCCTCTGAAATAAATATTTCCATTCTTTAAAAAAAGATATAATAAAAATGTACATCACATGGTCAATGTAGGTATAAAAATCACTAAGTTAAACCATTCTGGATGATGTATCTGAAGTAAAATGGCCTAGGTTTTGCTTCTGCCGACGTCCTCTATTGTTCTTGGGGCATTTTCTGTTAAAAAAAAAGAGAAAGAAAATGGAGGGCTGATTTTATATATACCACATAAAATTAAGCCTAGCAATAACACATTGACTTAATTTTCTGTACGTAACAATAGGAAGGAGTCTATGAGCTGTGCTGAGTGGGGGGGAAAGCTCCTGCTGTTTGGTACCAGATTGTCACCTTGGAGATGTCCATGGGACCCAAAATCTGCTTGAACTTGAGACCGAAACCAGAAAGTTGCCATATCCTTCAGCCTTGATCCAGCAAAACACATACCACGGAGAATAATTGCATTGGCTTGACTTAATACATATTTCAAACTTAAAATCCAGTGGATGGTAAGACTGGATCAATCAGCCTTTTGAAGTGCTGACCCTCCAGGTGCCCTGCTGCTCACAGCAGGCCCTGAGACAGAGCCCACCCAGGACTCTCTGTGGGGTGACTCAGGCAATCCCTTTTTTGGGGATGGACATGCAACTAGGAAAGGATTCACAAAAGCTGGCAATTCTGAACGGGGTGCGACTCAGCCCATCAGATGGTAGGCAATGCAGAGTCCTTGGGGTGCAGCAAGACAGACTGTCCCCAAGAGACTGTGAGCTGGGGAAGTAAGGCTGGAAGACGAGGGCTGCTGAACAACAGCCTTCCATGCCACTACTTTGGCCAGCAGGGTGTTGAATAAAAAAGAGATGACACCATTTGCATGAATCAAATAACTCTTACACATATGCAGGAGGTGTAAGATGTGTGTGCTTATGCCTGGTACGTTGAACATTAAAAAAGAGATAGTGAAGGAGGCCTATATTGCTCGTTCATAGGGGTGTCACTCTACAAAACTGAGTTTGGGAAGTCATGCACTAATGCAGTAGCAGAGAGTTTTATGGACCAATGTAACTGGAGCTGGAAAAGCAAAGGATGAGTTGGGGAGAAAAAGGCAAACTGTGGCATGGATGCCCAAGTGTAGGACTTAAATGCGTCATGGACCTATAAGGCAACTAAGTTATTCTTAATCTATCCCAGAGCTCTCAGTCCTCATTGGATTCAAGTCCTTGATGAGCAAACTGAATCTCTTGCCTCCAAAAAGAATCCATGGCTCTCATCTGAGTTTTCATACAGGACGAGAGTCTGAGACAACCCAGAAATCTGAACTCCGTGCTTGTGCATCATTACATTTCATAAAATAGGTTTCCGTGGAGAGTGCCCAATAACAGAACTAGCTGCACGTTAGTGTTCAGAAAGCATATATGATGTGAGGGATACTTCTCTCTCTGTGTAACACCATTTACAGCGGTACTGCAGGGAACAGCATCTTGTCAACCTCTCTAGTTTCATTGAGTGGGAGGGGGGATCATAGCTTCTATAAGATATCGGCAGTGCTTGAATAACTCCAGTGAAGGTCTAACAGAGTAGCTGACCTTTTGGATATCTTTCAAGGCTGATCTGTTCTGCTGGGTATTTGGTCTGGGGAATCAGAGTGGTTACTGGTGGTTTGTGAATTTAAACAAAACTGTGTTTTATGACCAAAAAACCAATGTCAACGGGATGTTACATAATCCTTCTTCTTCAGTCATTAGGTACTTTTTTATATGGGCATTTTAGGATATATGTTAAAGCACATAAATTTTGGGGGTTGAATACTTAAATGCAGAAAAAGTATATCCATACAATGTGTAATTTTTCACTGTTTTTGTCTTTACCTACCTTGTTATGCACATGACAATTGCAACTATAATGGCAATCTGTACAGCTCCGATTATTGCTGCAATAAGGACATGCGTAAGCTTTTGTCTACTTGGGACAACATAAAGAATACTAAAGTCTGTCTTTTCACAGTGCTGTCCAGTATATCCTGATTCACACCTGAAAAAGAAAAGGAATATTTCATGGAATCTGTAATTTGGCAACAGCCCAGTCACTTTGCAGATGAAATAAGGAGCCCAAGGTGACTCCAGCTGAGAAAGAGCTGCTGAGAAGGTGGAGACGTGATGGGGAATTATTTGGATTTCTGCAGCAAGATAAGAGACAGAGCAGATATGCTCTGCTCTCCTGCATAAGGTTACCAGTGGCCCTCTGAAAACACACCAGTGTGGTGAAGGCCCTGATTTGACAAAATAAATATGTGGGGTCATTATTAAATTGGGGCTATATTTAGGAAGAATAAAGTAACTAGGTGAAACAAGTAAACAAGCCTAAATGAAACACAAAGTGAGCTTGCTCATTCAGCTGCAATGTCCACATGAGAGAGAAATGACAAAGAGGAAGAGAAACCTTGAAAAATAGGGGAAAAGGAAGATCTCTATTCAAGCTGCAGCCTACAAAAGTGGACTCCTGCAAAACCTACTGGACAAGACCAGCATCAAACCCTCTCCTGCCTTGTCCCCAGACCAAGATTTGACGGAGGTTGGGTTAGAAAACCCAATGTCCGCAACTGTTTAAGTGGGGGTACATGTAAGCATCCATAAAAATTGGCCAGAGGTGCGGGAGAGATGGCTGGAGGCATAAGAAGGGCAGCTGCTCTAAATGGTATCTTGCCTGAGCAAAGTAGCAGTTAGTACAGTGAGAAAGTCAGCAGAGGCTGCTCCTGATCAGCTACACATGTTCAGGGAATGCGAGATGTGCCAGTGGTGAATGTGGCAGTGGAAACACGCTCTGGAGGAATTCATGTTGCAAGGCAAGAGAGGTGAAAGCACTAAAAGGAAAGGTGAGAGCCACCCGAGACACTGAGTTGAAGTCTGCAGGCTCAAAGCCCACCTCTTAAATCCCTGAGCAAGTTCCTTGCACAGCTATTCTTTAAAACTGGCTGATGCAAATGCATCATTAAGGGCAACTCAATCACACAATTGGCCTACAGCTCTATAGTAGAAAGCTGGAGAAGAATTACACGCAGGCAGAAAATCTATCCTCTTGTAAACTGGATCGGATAAGCCCAAATGCAACAAAGAATCGGTCTCATCCATCCAAAAGCTGTGTTGTAGGGTAGGAATTAGTTCTGTTTGGAGGAACAAAATAATTATTTCACAGACCTTCCTACAACTGCTAATGCAACTCCTAATCCTTCTTTGCATGCAGGGATAACAGCTGGGGTTTACATGTTCACAATCTTGTGACTCTACTTTCTCCAGCCATGAGCTGCTAGGTAAGGAGTTTTGGTTCAGGCATGAAACAAGTTCCAGTAAGAGTGGGGTTATCAAATAAAAGCCTCTATGTATTGTGAGTTAGCTTGGTAATGGCTAGGATGGGAATCAAGAGAAACATATATTAGTGTACAAGAAGGAAGAAGGCAGGGAACATATTGGTAATCATGCATAAAGAAACAATAAGGAAGGGGACTCCTCACTAGTGAAGAGGGATGAATTATTATTGTTACTTTGCTTCTGTTTTCATTAAAGAAGGTAAGAGTCAAAGTGTGATCAATGCGAGAATTACTTTAAACCATATGAGGCAAAACAAAGCAGAGGAGACTCAAGTTATTCAAAGATGCTTCCTCAGAAACACTGAAGGCAATTATTTCTGAGAAATATTGAATGGAGATTCAGGAGTATTGAATTCCTGCAAAGAAGAAGTGCTTGTGCTAAGAATTATATTGGCGGTGGGATGAAGTACTAGGCAGCAGTTTAAGTTACCTTAAACTAGTAAAACAGATTACAAGCACTCTGCTGAATTAATATATAGCAAGATAATATAGCATTAATATAATAGCAAGATAAATAGAGGTCAGCATGGCTTTATCAAAGTATGCTGATCAGTCAGTTAATGGACCTAGCATAAAGAAGTTTAGATTTGTTTGCAAAGGACTGAGCTGTGCCCCCTTGATGAAGGCTGCCATGAGGACAGGGCAGAACTGCACTGCACAAGGAGGGCAGCAGGAGACAGACCAGACCCCAGCTGTGCAAAGGCTGCTAAACTAAATATTATTATACTGACTACTACAAAACTTTCCTCCCATCTGCCTGCTGGCAGTCCTGGAGGCCTGCTGTACAACAAGCAAGAAGACTCATTGTCCTCAGTGAAAGTCAGAATTTTCTCTGCACAGGCATTTTCTGCAGTTTTGTAAGTCATCCGGTACCTCACATATATCACTACCAGGAAACGAGGACCAAATTAAACAATGTATATGCTCGATGTGTATGAGAATGCAAAGCATTTGAAAATAACAGTCTGCCTCTAGAATTCATCATTATACTTCCCTTGCCAGAGTAAGTGAGCATTTTTTTCTTTGGTAGAAGTACATGATTGCTATGGCAGATTGCTGTCTGATAGAAATAATTTGTTTTCTTCATAACTCTGATCCAGTAGCAAACATGCATGAAGTACAAGACCATCAGTATTTAAATAGCCAAGAAAAATCCAAAGTAAATCTGATACTTAGGGTTAAGACCTTACAGTCAGAAATTCTTCACTGAAACCATGTGAGGTTCACTGTGCTAGGTCTAGCACTGAGATACTGTTCAGGCTGATTAAATAAATAATTGAAGGTAGTAAGGGTAAATGTAATTATAAAATAGAATATAAAGGGACAGTGCATTAATTAAATTCATCAAAACATTGTCTATCAGTCATTATTAGAGTAATAATAAATACTTCAATGATTGACTAGTATTTGAATCGCAAGTGAATAAACTACTATGTGATTAACGCCATCCAGACAAAAAATCTGAGAAATGTAAAAATCAGTTCATTCATCTAGGAATGTTTTCCTTGAAATACCTCCACTTTTAATATTTAGAGGACAAATCCATCAGAAATTGTGTTAAACACAGCTCTAGATCAAAAGAATACTGTAATCAAATAGTGCTGCCTAATGCTCCTCAAGATGATGTTGGGGATGCACCCAGTTTCCCAAGAGAAGCAAAGCCACACTGAGGTGTCTTGGTTCTGGCCAAAGAAAAGATAAGTCCTATTGGAGAGGTGAAAATAAACAAGAAAGGGTCTCAGATGGGAAAAGGAATAATATAAGCTTTCAGATACCTGACAACTATACTGGCTCTGCCTTTTGGGCTTCCTGCTTCCTGGTCAGTCTGGAAACCCTTAAATCTTGGCACTGGAAAAATCCCTAAATATCCTTGGTCACTAAAGATCAAGGAAGAAAATGTGATATTATCATGGATTTACAGCTGAATTTTCCAAAGCAGATGAAGCAAAGAGCTATAGCATCTTCAACCACATTAATCTCAAAGTACAAGCCTGCAAGATAAAAGTTCAGGAGTAAAATCTCCTAACAGGAAGGGAAGAAATTTAGTTGGTGAAATGTATAGAAAAAATATCTGCGAGCTAAGGAAATAAAATGGAACATTCTGATTTCCTAGGAATGATGAGTGGCCTAATACTGAGTATACTGTGCTGCTAGATTATACCGTAGACAACAAATGTGGGCTAAAGAATATTTTGCAATTTTATACTCCCTAGATGAAGCCTATTACTGTGAAAAAGAGCAATAAATGTTAAAAATAAGATACTGATACTCTTGAGAGAGTTTATGACAAGAGTAATAAAATGTATAGACAGCATAAGAACAGACTGAGATGTCAATGGGGAAAGAGCAGTCATACAGAGAAGCCATGCAAGGCAAAGGCAGTTTTTTTGTGTTTGATTTTTTAACTCTAGACAGGATTTAGCAGCTGAAAAAAACAGAACACAACAGCAAGGCCCCAGTCTTCAGAGGGATCCAGCTTCTGAACTACCAGACTCACTGAGCCTCTCCTTTGAGCACCATCTCCCTCACGAGAGCAGCTGGGTGCTGCCCACAGCATAGGGATACAGCTCCTGTGCTACTGCTTAGATAACTGCAAACTGATACATGCTGTAGTTATGCCTAGAGAGCCTTCTGATTAAGCTTTACAGCAATTTCAAGCACATTGTGGAGGCATGCAGGACTTACCGGCAGGAAGCCTTCTGAGTGGAATAAATGAATTCACATTTTCCATGTATACAGTAGCCATTGAAGCTTTCTGAACAAGGTATGTGGTTTCCAATGTAAATGTCTTCTCTTTGATCACTGGCATCTTGAAAAGATACATACACAAGCAATTACACATAGCTGTATGATATTTATAGAAAATCTCAACCAAGAATAGCATACCCTTAAAAACTTGCAATGATTAAAGCAATACAGAATAATAAAGCAAAAGCTTAAGGGTGAAGCTTCTGAGACACCCACAGAGATTTGCCAGGATGTATCACACTGAAAAATGATCCTCAGAGACATCTAAATATGCCTTTTATGTCAGGTTTCTTGAAAGGAGAAAAGTGATCATGACAGAAACAAGCGAATGCAGGAAGATCAGCAGTTTTGTCAGTGGCATTGTGGCACAGAGCTAACACATAGATACAGAGAACTCTCTTCCATGTCTAAACAGAGGGAAAAAAACCTGAAAGGTTTGGAAGAAGCTAAACACCGTTTTATGACTACTGGGTAGAAAACTCAATAAAGCCCTCATCTGACTCGTACCACTGGTCTTATAGCTGAAATCAAACATGCTACAAAACACTTTTTAAGTGTTTCTCCTCAGAGAAGCACTGTTATGGAAAGGGAACTTCAAAATATTTGTATGAGCTTAATATGCCCATTCCTCTGGGAAGTGTACTGGGTCTGATTGGGGTGGAGTTAACTTTCTTCATAGCAGCCTGTACAGCGCTGCGTTTTAGGTTTCTGACTGAAATAGTGCTGATAACACACCAGTGTTTTGGCTGTTGCTGAAGTGTGCTTGCACAGCACCAAGGCTTTCTCTGCTTTCCCCAGCGAGCTGGCCAGGGGTGAGCAAGAGCCTGGGAGAAGACACAGCCAGGACAGCTGAACACAACTGGCCAAAGGGGTATTCCCTACCATACAACATCATGCTCAGTGACAAAAACTGGGCTTTTGGTCTTTCCAGTGTGGCTGTCACAGAATCACAGAATATTAGGAGTTGGAAGGGACCTCTGAAGATCATCCAGTCCAACCCCCCTGCCAGAGCAGGATCACCTAGACTAGGTTGCACAGGAAGGCGTCCAGGTGGGTTTTGAATGTCTCCAGAGAAGGAGACTCCACAATCTCTCTGGGCAGCCTGTTCCAGAGTGCTCTGTCACCCTCACAGTAAAAAAGTTTTTCCTTATCTTCAGGTTGAACCTCCTATGCTCCAGCTTGCACCCATTGCTCCATGTCCTATCATTGGCTATCACTGAGAAGAGCCTGGCTCCTCCATCCCTCTCTGGGCTGTCACTCAGAGGCTGTCTGGGCATCAGTTTGCTGGTGGGACATTGTGAAGGATAGCTTTTGAATTACGTGGGTTTCTTTCTCCGCTTTTTCCCCCTTCACTTCTTAACCTGTCTTTGTCTTGACCAATGAGTGTTTCTCATGTTTGTGCTCCTGATTATCTCCCCCATCCTGCTGGGAGGAAGGTGGAGGTGAGTGAACAACTGGGAGGTGCTTAATTGCTGTCCAGGTCAGCCCATTCTGACATTACTAAAACTTCTTACATTACTAAAACTATCTAAAGCTGTGTACATTTTCAACCACTGTCCCCAAAAAATTGTTCTGTAAAAAAGTCCTAAACACAGAAGCTGGTATTTCATAATTAAATTCTCTAAAGAGTAGGGATCTAAAGATGTGAGTGTAACTGTGGAATTGTATTCATTTCCTTGGCAATAGACTATAGCATCACAAATACAAGATTGTAATGAACTGCAGGTGCAAAGTAAAAAGAGACTGTGAAGAAGAAATCTCTTATACAATTGCAGATATTTGAAATATTACCAGCAAGAGAGAGAATGTATTTATACAAGAACTAAACAAAAAAGAGGCATGCTGCTGTTTTAGGTTTTGACTGAACATTTTCTGGAATGTTTTCTAATTTGTTCCAGAAGAAAAAAAATCTCATAGAGGACTGAGATATAAGGAAGTTTGGTGGTTCAGCTTGTGCTTCAAAGCTTGAGAAGATGTGATACAAGGGAAGAACATTGCCTAATACTAACAATATGTCCATCACTGCTTTGTTGGAATAGACTATGTTGTGGTATGTCTAAGAGGAGAAAACTGGGGATGGCTCATCCCAAAACTGCTGCCTCTTCCAAGATGTTAACTACCATTCTATCTGATCCCAATCAAAGGCTAGTAATAAGCTAGATACAATTATATTAGTTTGTTCAAAGAGCTGTGCCATGTCTGGTTTTAATGCATGTACTGATACAGAATGTGAGGCCCAGTGACAGATGCATCCCCCAAAACGCAGCCAGGTACACATGGCCATCCAAGTCAAAGGCAAAACTTGTATTAAGCAAAGAGTTGCTGTTAAACGCAGGAGGTGATTCCTAGTGTAAACCAGACATTTACTCATCTATTGATGGGAATCCATTTTTAATCTGAGAGGCCTGCTAGACTGCTTCAGAGCTTCAAAGTGAAGTATTTAACTACAGCAGGAGCCTTGAAAGAGCGACTGTATGTAAGAGTTCAGATACTTCACCAGAAGGAAGAAGCATGCACAAAACCTCAAACCCTGATGCTCATCAGGGTGAATCTTTCCAGCTGAATCTGGTAAGAGAGACCTTTCTGACGTACCTTTAGGTACATACTTGCATTTCAGGACAAGGAGGCTGTCATGGCTGTGGTTCTAGAGACCAGAAGGTGTTATACATTCAGAGAGAGAACAGGGCTTAACAAGAGTAACTCACGGGAATTTAAAGCAAAAGCAAATATATAGAAGTGTGGACTGTTCTCTTATCCTAGAAGAAAAAGCCATTCAAAATAGTTCACTTCAGGCTCTCACTATCTAAAAAGATCTGACTACTGCATTAAAAAAAAAATCAAAACAACTTTTCTGCACAAGGCATACTCCCTCCATGCACACCATTGGCCGAACTTGAGACTGCACAAGTTATACACATAAATAATAATGATAATAATTACATAAAATGTTTTTTCCACTAACTAGATTTCAAGGGCAATTTATGTGTAATGAATAAAAGGCTGTAACTTCTTCTGAATAGGAACCAAAAGTGGTGTTTCATTACATCACATAATAAGATATATGTTCCATTTGGTGCCTTTTATGCCTTCATAATGTAAGTGGAAACCAACATTAAATCATTCCAACGTGTACACTACACGGAGTGAAAATAAGTGAATTTGTGAAAAAAAGTATACCGAGCTTTTTGGTACTGAATGAGTTTTGAAGAAAAAAATGCTCAAGTTGTGCCAGGGGAGGGTTAGATTGGATATTAGGAAAAATTTCTTTAGTGAAAGAGTGGTCAAACACTGGAATAGGCTGCCCAAGGAGGTGGTGGAGTCACCATCTCTGGAGGTGTTCAAGAAGCATGTGGATGTGGCACTTCAGGACGTGGTTTAGTGGGCATGGTGGTAGTAGGTTGATGGTTGGACTTGATGATCTTAGAGGTGTCTTCCAACCTTAATGATTCTGTGAGTCTGTGAAAAACGCAAGGAATGTCTAAAGCCATGGTTGGGTGGCTTTACTCTGGGAGGCCATGGGAGTGCAAAACATGTATAGTGACAGAAAAAAACTAAGCTAAAAAAACTAAACGAAACCAACCTCTCGCAACAAAATCTGCATTAAGACCAGCACTGAGATGAAACAACAGTGAGTTATGGTCATTAGTGATTCCCTCCTGTGCAGAACAAAAGCACCCATTTGCAGACTGGATCCTGTTTTCAGGGAAGTTTGCTGCCTCCCTGGGGCCCAAGTTAGGGACATCACCACAAGACTGAAGAGCTTAGTACGACCTTCAGACTACTGTCCATTCCTCCTCATTCGCCTGGATACTAGTGACGTAGCAACATAAAGTCCTAAGTCTATCAAAAGAGATTTCAGAGCCCTGGGAAGAATGCTAAAAAAATCAGAAGCACCTCAGGTAGTGTTTTCCTCAATCCTCCCAGAAATGTGAGGAGACTTTAAAAGAAACGGGAGTCTAGGATATCAATACCTGTCTCTGGGACTGGTGCTTCCACAAAAACTTTATGTTTTTAAACCATGGAAGAGCCTTTGAGACACAAAGTATGCTGGTGCCTGACAGGATCAACCTGTCCCAAAGGGCAAAATGTGTCTTTGGGTGTAAGCAGGCAGGACTGATCAAGAGAGCTTTAAACTAGAATTGATGGGGAAAGGGGATACCAACAGCATTGCAGTAGGTAAGCCAAGGGCTGGCATGGTGTTGCCTGAAGGTGGCAATGCTAAATGTGAACATTTGCACTTCTCCTGTGAGTGAGTAGGCTCAGAAGCATATTTGAAATGCATGTACACCAATGCGTCAAGTATGGGAAACAAACAGGATGAACTGGAAGCATTGGCTAGCTCCCAGAACTGATATAATTGTTATCAGTGAGACTCGGTGGAATGAGCCCCATAATTGGAGTGCTAGGATGGAAGGCTACAGGCTGTTCAGGAGGGATAGGGGAAAAGATGGGGACAAACTTTTAGCAAGGCCTGTTGCGACAGGACAAGGGGTAAAGGTTTTAAACTAAAACATGGTAGATTTAGACTAGATATAAAGAACCAATTTTTTTATCATGAAGGTGGTGAAACACTGGAACAGGTTGCCCAGAGGGGTGGTAGAGGCCCCATCCCTGGAAACATTCTAGATCAGGTTGGACAGAGCTCTCAGTGCTAATCTCTTCTTCCTGGTACCCAGTGACAGGACATGTGGGAATGGCTCAAAGCTGCACCAGAGGAGGTTCAGACTGGACATAAGAAAGCAATTATTTACCAAGAGGGTGGTCAAATGCTGCAACAGGCTTCCTAGAGAGGTAGTCAGTGCCCCAGGTCTGTCAGCGTTTAAAAGTAATTTGGACAATGCCCTTAACAACATGCTTTAGATTTGGTCAGCCCTCAAGTGGTCAGGCAGTTGGACTAGGCGATCCTTGCAGGTCCCTTTCAACTGAAGTAGTTCTGTTCTATTCTAACAGTGCTATTATTTGTGAGACAAGAAAAGGAGAGGTTAACACCTATGCACATCTGCTCGTCGCCAATAACTTAAGAAAAACAGCCCTTTTTTTTCTGGACTGCAACACTTTGAGGAAGAGCCATGACGCGCAGAAGCATATTTATTCTGAGAATGCTCCAGACACACACAGGCTACTACTGTGTAAAACAACTAAGCAGAAATTCTGCCTTATTTCATTTATATTAAGGTAATTATAGGTAAAATTCATATAGGTATAACATTTCCAACCAATGTGATTCAGCGTATTAGTTTCCTGAAAACATTTTAAAGTGGTCTAACAAATACAGAATCTCCCATTTTGTTCCAGAAGTCAACAGAAAAGATGGGGTCACAGGAGGGAGGTTTGTGTCATTTCATCAGGAATGTCACAGCTTGGTGTCTTCCAGTAAAGTAATTTTCACAGCACTTGGTGGGAGTCTAATCCTGTGACCGCTGCATAAGGTGGGGAGCAGCTGGGCATCTTAAGAGGAATACAGCAGGCAAAACTGACAAATTGTGCGCATCTCCTTCTTGCCAGCCTTGCGACGTGCTGTAAGAAAGGAGCTGTCTGTCTCGATTACAGAAATCAAAGCTGTAAAGCAGATAAGGGACCTGCATGCTCTGTTTTCTCATCTTGTGAAACCGTAAGCAAACAGCACAAAGCCAGCACAGTACCTTTCACCTCTGGCCGATACTGCATGCCATCGTCTTTCTTTCCAACTGCGTTTGTGTCATCTGTGTCTAGGCAATAAAAACATGCACGGATAGCTGTTAGGAAAAGCTTATTTCCAGACCACTACATGTATGCCATTGAGAAGTCAGAATAACATTTTAAGAAGTATTTTTATTGCAGTAAAACTGGACAGACACATTTCCACGGTGTTCCTCTCAGACAATCAGGTTGGTAGGACACCTGGTCAGTAACAGAGTCAGTAACCCCAGAGAACAGGCCAACACATGCCACACCTCAAGCTGCAAGTTTTGAATGAGCCTAGGTTATTTCTGTGACAGTCTGGTTTGGTTTTGGAACCGTCCAAGCTACAGATCTCGACGTAAGTGGCAAAGAGATGGTGGAGAGTTGTCACAAGAAGGTCCTAACTACAAGACCCCAAAACTTAAGAGCCATGCACATGATCAACTACAAGGCAGGCAACAGAGGGTTTCAGTCAACCATTCCAACACTGAAAAAGGAAATATTTGGGCAGTCAAGGCTTAACTTGACTCGCCTTGAAAGTACACTGTACAGCCCTCAGCAGCCAGAGGGAACATTTCCCACACACTGGTATTCCTTTTTCTCTCCTACTTCATACCGCCTCCTTATGTAAGACTTGTTGGACTATTGTTTAAATTCTCCTAAAAGCTTTTGCTATCTTTTCAGGTAACAGCAGCCAAAGGAAGGTAGTGTAAACCCAGCACACACGTATGTAGTGTAAATATACCTCTGCATGGGGAATTCTAAAATAACAGCAGGGAGTTCACTGATAACTGGATCAGTGACTTCTAGTCAAAAATGGAAAAGAGAAAGCTCTACCACGCCCATTCTTATGTCAGAATTTACATTTACCAGAGAAGCAAAATGAAACCTACCTGAGCAGTGTCCAAGATGCCTGATGTCGATCTGCTCTTGCCTCAGACATGACGCTTCTCTAACAAAGCATGGATTGTTATAGGAACTCCCATCAGAAGCACATACAGGATTAAAACTGTAGCCACTGCAGTCTATATTACATACACACCTGTTAATTGAAACATACAGCAAAGCAAAATTGACATCCAATAAACAAAATTAAGTCGAGTCCTGAATAAACTCTAGCTCATACACTAATAGCAGGAGAAAAGAGTGTGTTGCATGAGGATGCTGAAGAATTCGTTGATGTCTCGGGCTTCCAAGCAGAATGTGCAAAATTATGAATAGGTGCTTCATTGTGCTTTTCAATCACGTATTGATGTTTCTTGTAGTTTTACTGTGATATCAGTCTCATTGATTAACACCTGAAAATTGGTAATACATCGCTAGGAATATTTACTACATTAATTTAACAGTTCATGGTGTCTGTTCTTGACTGTGAACAAATCCAAATGAATGTTCCTTCAGAGAGAGACAAAAGAAAAGGACTCCCATTTCTTTTAAGCAGTAAAAGGAGTTTTTCTATTTCAGAGGCTATACAGAATCAATATGCTTGGTTAACTAGGTCATTTCAGCAAGACATTCATTCATAACTTTGAAAGTTAACAGTGGGTTCATTATGTTGTATTTAAAACAGGATTATGTGATCTGAATTATTTCATATTGCATCCAATCAACACTTTGGTTATTCCAGACACAGCATGTTCCATATAATTTGCAACTAGGGATTGTAAAACAAATGTGGGAAAAATTAAGACCTAGCATGTAGCTGATTCCTAACCACCCAAATGTAGGACAGCCAAAGGCTTAGATAGGGCTATGACTTACCTGGTTTAGGTTATACAGTTTTGTTGTCCCAACAAAAAATCCTGAAATTTTACATCTGGGAATGGAACAGGAAAACTTCCCCATTCTCCAAGCCCACTTCCTTGTTTACTTTAATCAATATTCTACTTTTTAACTGAACCTCTATTTTTGAATGAAAGTTTCTGTGTGTGTTTCACACTGCTCTGCAAGCTCCACTCTGCCTCTGGGCTGTGAGAGGTAAGGTGTGTGGCTGCAGAACAGAGAGTGCGGCAGACGCCTGGTCCAGCTCCTCCTGATGCTGTGAGAGCAGGGAGAGCTGCCCGGCATCTTCTGAGGAGGTGGCAGTGGGCAAGTGGTCCTTCCCTTGCCAGAAAGGTCTACAAAGGGGACACACATGGTCTGACTTCTAGGACCTGCTGCTAGCTTCATCTTGATTCACTCTTGTAAGACACAGGGTGGGAAAAACTCCAAGGTACCAACTTGCCAAGTTTTTAATGTTCTTTCCAGCTGTTCCAGTTACAAGTACATGTTTAAATAGCTGTATGTGTGTCTGAAGTCAGTTACAAGCCTCGCAGTAAAACCTAATTCCAAGCTGCAGAAACACTGAAGATTGTCAGTGAACATTTTCCTCTCCTTCTCTTTCCATGAGCATCTTTTGCTATGTATGTTTAAAGATGTTATTTTTACCAGTAATATTTCAGGCCTGTAATATTTGGATTGTGGCTGGACAAAAGAACATCACTAGCACAAACAGGTTTTTAAGTGCACCTACTGGCAGTGAAAAACTGCCCCAGTAATGACTCTCTACACATTTTACTGACCTACCTCAAAGTACGCCTGAAGCCGCTAAATATCAAGATGATGAACATACGATAATTTTCCTTACTAGAAATGGTAATGGTTGTAAACCTTAGACCCAGGAAAGGAAGCACTATTTTGTTTACATGTTCCCACTTTATTTTAAGCCTAATAAGCCTAATGAGGGGTTTATTAGGATTTACTATATGCAAATGAAAGGCTCATGGCTCAGCAGTTGTGCACATTTGATACAAACGAGCAGAGAGCTACTCCTCATTTGTATGACACTGGCTATGTGTTTATGGATACCTTTGCTCAGCCTTAGCTCTCAGGGATCACTGCTGCCTGCGTGCGTCCATCTTTGTCAAGTTTGAGCACATCCGTATGCATCATCTCCAGACCAATTCCAGCTGTATTTCTATGTCCTAACGTCTCTAATTCTGTCTGTAGTCACCATCCAAGGTCCGTAGCATCATAATTACTGTTGGTTTTTGTCATTCCCAGTGACAAATAAAGTTATTTTTGAAAAGGACTTTTTTTCTTTCTTATGGTGACATTACAAGCTAGAGTTGAAACTGCTTGGAAACTGCTTACATTTTCATGCTTTGTTGCATTCAGATTTAACATCTAATGTTAAATGCTTACATTTTTAGCATTGCTGAATGCCTGGTTTGGGGGTAGTTGTGAATTCCTGACCTTTTTCTGATAAACACTCTCTCAGTCTTAACTCTAACCATCCCTTCAACATATAACATTTTCTTTTTATAATTTAAAATTGACATCTAAAAGTAAGAAAATAAAAAAACCAACAACACAAACCAAAGAGGAGAGCTTGTGACATGTTCTTAAGTACTGGGGCAGCGTGAAGCAGCTGCAGCCCCCTGACTCACTGCTGTGTCCTTGGAACAGGACAGAGCTGGTCTCTGCCAGGGATGGGAGTGAGTGAAACACCAGCCTGCTGCCAGTCTGGATACTGGGAGCTGCTGGAGGCTTGCAAGCACACCTAATCCCTGGAGAGGCCCTGCTGGCACCACAGACCCCGACCAGCTGGCAGATACACACGCTTCCCGCCCACAGGCGTGCAGGCTGCAGCCATACCTACAGCAAGGCCCTCATCAGCCAGACAGACTCCAGCCAGCCGGTAGGACATGTGTCTGTTCTCTGATCTCCAAAATCTGCCCCTGCTTCCAGGATCAGTGCCACTCTCCTTCTAGGCCCCTTCCCCTGTCCAAGGGCATTGTCTTTCAAGACACTTTTTCTCTCCAGAGCCCAGGCTGTCAGTTTCCCCGTCCTAGCAGTCTATCGGCAGAAATGCACCACACAGCCAGCTTCCCAGCTGCTGACTCTGCCTCATGGCTTGCTATTAGCTGGAGAATTCAGGACATGAAGCTTGTTTAGCCAAGGCACTACCCAAAATTTCCAACCAGTCTGTGCTTATTGGAGCTCAGGAATTCAAAGGTTCAATTTTAAACATTCACCCTCCCCACCATGCTCCCGATTTTCTGTCTGATGCTGATAGCTACATCTTTGACTACAACCACGACACCAAATGGTACATCTGGCCTTCACCTGGCCATTTAGTTACTGGTGTAGGGGCTTTGATGGAGCTGTCTGGTACATAAAAGCAGGTGGTTTAAACACACTGTGGGATAATGAACAATTGAACCGGACTGATGTACTTAAAATTATCGAGGTTATTCTGCTTCATTATGCCAACATAAAAGCCTGAACATGTTCAGAGGGCTCAAAGGGAATAATTTAAGGTGAAGACATGGAGTGTGAATGCTCTGAAGGGAGCAGGGCCTCCACAGATACAGCAGAGAAGCAGAGAGGAAGCCAGGAGCACATGTTAGAAACCTGTATCTATCAGGGAGGTCTGCGTGGGGCACAGTGAAGTTATCCTTGGTACTAGACCCAAAACACAGCCAGGCTTGCTGGAAGCATCAAACTGTGAGATGGGAAGAGTGAAATATGAGAAGTGCTGGTCTCAGTAGAAAACATGAAACGAAAGTTGTTTTTAACTGCTCAGTGTTTGTGAAGGAAGGTAAAACTGTGGGAGAACAAGTTGCTGCTCTGATGCTGCAGATCAAACACACTGAAACTGGCAACTGAGTCCCTGAAAGAGGACAGGACCACCACCACAGACTGAATCAAAAAAGCAGCTCAGGAAAGTACTGGGAGATCCCCAAACAAACTTGCTATGAAATACAGAAAATATGTTACACTCTGAAGTCAGAGCTACAGAGGGCAGGTAAGAGGAGAAGATGACAGAAAAGCCAGCCTCCTGAGGGGAAAAAATTCCCACCACCAGTCAGTTTGAAGCCTAAAGCCAGGCAGAAGTCAAAGTCCAAGACTATCAAGCACAGCCCATGGGGTTGAACCATCCCATGGACCTTACAAGTAGCACACAATGTATGGGAGCAGCACACAGCAGACAGTATTCATGAGCTAAAAGTGAGGTCCCAAAGGGCAGAAATCTTCAGGAAGGCTGTGTTTTGCAGTCAGGGAAATCTGTGTGAGGCATCATGGACTGTGGGCTTTGTTTTTCTTCACAGCTGACTGAAACCAGACACAGCAGTGAAGTCTGATGTTGTAATTTGTTCTGTGACAAGTCCTGTTTATGCTAGGGAGAGAGCACGAAGAGAGCAGAGGTCAACATGAAGAGCTGCTTAGAAAGGGAGGGCAGGAAAAATCCGAGATCATGAAGGGGGATATGCGGATGATCACAAGAAGGGCACCCAAGAGGAGAGACAGTAGACTCTAATTGTAAAATTCCTAATATCCTGCCTTTTAAGCACTTACTCTCACTTCTGCCTTAGCTCCTGCCAGCACTGTGTCCACATACAGTGATCTGTGAGAACAATGCCATGTGCAGCTCCCTGAGCTCGGCTGTGCAGCTATGAACACTTTCTGGCATGGCTTGTCCCAAATGACTGCTGAATGACAGCCCTGGTGGCCACAAGCCCACTACAGGCACTAGCCTGAAAGGTAAGCTTCAAGGGCAAAGGGATGCAAAGGTTTTGATTGTGTTCTATATTTTGTTCTCTGGAAGCCCTGGGCAATTAGGACACCGCCTTGAGCATGAGAGATGTGCTTCCCATCTTAGCCTTTTCTAGGTTCTGATGCTCTGAGGTGAGCATTCAGTGACTCTCCTGGCGTCTCATGTGGATAGACAGTGCAGAAGTTTGAGCTCTGTCTCTCAGGCCAATGCCGCTCTGACAGATATGTTTATTCCTTGGGAGTGACCCCACAAGGGAATCAGGAAGGATCTTGCAAAAGAAAATCCAAAATCATACAAATTTTCACAAAGAGAAAAGTAATTATTTTGAGACCTTGCAAAACAAAAATGCCAGAGTACTTTTAAACATCATAGTATCTTTCTCCTACTTTTCAATTATTTATATCTGCTTTTTGGAATAACTTCCAGGAACAGCAGTGGTGCAAGCATAAATTAATGTGTGAAGCTGATCTTGAGTTGATATAAGTGAGAATAAACACAGAAAA